AATTGGCTCAACGACAATCTATCGTGATTCAGCAATTTTAATTTTAGAAATTTAAGCACTGCTGTTAATTTACCTGGCTCAACGAAAATCTATCGTGATTCAGCAGGTATATTATTGAGCTTTCTCCACAGTTTAAACTCTAAGTTCACTTTTTAAAGAAATAATGCAAAAATCAGTAACACGTACTAAGTGATTGACTGAAGACGAATAGGCAATGAGGCCCTATGAGCTTCTGCTTATAAAGAGCATCGCGAGATGCACTTAGTGGGATTAGTGAATCAGGGGTAGAAGGATTCTGGGGGTTTCAGGGGTATCGATAAGAAAACTTAGATCATCGTCCATCGATATTCTCAGAACCCATGATTCTTGTTATTCTTTTCTTTGTTGACACTATTGGAACTGCACATCTCCATATGTGTAAGTGTATATATGTGTTTTTAATAAAGTATAACTCGCAACCTTTGTTGAATTCCAGAGCGGTCATAGTTCTGCACAGATTATCGTTTTCATATTAAAAATGAAACTATTTTCCTTTTTTATATATGCATATACATTTTACGCATACACACGTACATTTACCTTAGTACACATACATATATGCACGACATACATGTCTCAAAAATTTTCTTCTCTTTTTTTTTTTTATATGCATTTTGTTTTTTTTACAAAATTGACCCTCTTAAAATAAAATCTTAATTGTTGCGAGTTTATATGTGCTTGGAAAATGTGACATGTTCCAATTTAAGCTATCAACAATTATTCTATCTTTATTTCCCTTTTTTTTTTAATTTGAAGGTATTATAAGGAAAAGAATAGGGGAAGGAAGGCAGTGTTTGCATCGCGCGATACTCCTCAAGCGCCTCACACATATGCGTTACGCAGGCTATGGGGAGTCCGTGTCTGTGTGTACCGCATCCACGCTACGAGACTCATTGCACCTGAACGCGTGAGAAAGAGAGAGAAAGATAGATAGAATTGACATATGCGATTCTTCTCCCTTCTTATAAAATAATACATTTTCGTAAATATAATAATTGCAATATAATAATCACATTATTGTTGGTTACTATAATATGCGTAGAAATGTGCAACCAAACAATGTATACACATATCTATGCATATCACTTTGGCATACTATGAACACACGTACACACGATAAAAATAATGCACACGCATACGTGCATATACAATGCATATTCTTTGAAATAATATTTGATAATGATGATTCTAATAAGTAGAAAAATAGTATTGGTAATATATCCAATTGTTTATAATAATAATTATGATTAATTATTAATATTAATTTTAGTAAATGTAATTAACAATGATAATAATACGATTTATCATTATTAATAAAAAAAATCATGAATTAACAATAATTTGCATATTGTTAATTAATTAATTACTGCAAATTACTAATAAAAATGAGTAAAGTATAATTGTTTTATTTATAATAATATTTTAGTATCTTTATATAAGGTAAGTACACTATATTATATTTTTCATGCATATATTTATAATATTCAAGCTTGAATATTGGTATTAGATAATTAATATAGTTTATAATATAGCATAATATAATATAGTATAAATCATAATATAGAATAATATAACATAAGATAGAATAAAATAATATATTATAATATAACAGTTTAACAAAGTTATATTATAATATCATAGTCATAGATACATTTTTAGAAGCAACGAGAATATAAGACTGTGTGTGTGGAGTATCACTCAACGCGCGCGATTATCGGGGATTCAAATTACATGCCTATATACATTGTGGCATCGACTTGGAGATTTTATTCTTAAATAATTTTCAATTATTCTTGAAATTATTTATTATCATTTTATTTATCTTTTATTTATAATTTCGTTACGATAGTTCGTAACAACAAGAAAAACATGATACTTTGCTTCCTTCATACATTTCAAGTATTTCGAAAATATTTAATATTTTTAAACTATAATTTAATCAAAATACGAACGTATTACAATCTCCAAACGAAATAAATACATTTTCCATTTAAAGAAATTTGTGCTTTAAAATGATCATTTATTTCTTTAATTCAAATAAAAATTTAGTAAAATCAAAGAAATTTTTCTTTGCTTCTACGAAAAAGAAGTTTTTAAGTCGAAATTTAATACAATAATACAATACAATAATAAAAACTGATTTTATTTTTTTAATAAATTTTATTATTAAATAGGTCATTAAAAATAGAAACTTAAATTTCAATATACTTAGGTTTCAAAATTTCATTTAAGCGAGATATTAAAAAAATTCGAATTTATCCCGTAGGTATGTTTGTTTGTGCACCACTTAATCGACATTTGGGATTTCCCCCACCCAACATGAACTACATAATTTTCATGTTTTACCATCAGTCGGTATGGAAGTTTCCTGTAAGACGTTAATTTCAATTTCTTTATTTTCCTGTTTTTATCATCAGTCGGCAAAGAAAATTCCTATAAGTCGGTAATTTTTTACAGTTTCATATTTGACCATCCGTCGGTAAGGAAGTTTTCTGTAACTCGGTAATTTTTTATTTTTGTATTTTACCATATGTTGATCAGGAAGATCCTTTGTCCATCGGCAAAGAAGATTTCTGTAGGTCGGTAATTCATTTCTGATCTTTAAGGCCAGGTCCAAGTGAGGCAGCGCCATCTACATTGATACTAAAATTTTGGAAAATTTTCAACAGCCTTTTCTTGAAAACAAGATGGTAAAATGCTTTTTCCAATTGCACATTGTCTTTGATTTTCTGTTATTTTCATTTTCAAATTAAATAGTGAAATGGTTTCCGCAATTGTACTATTACCAAAATATCTGAAAAAAATTCGTTTAATTTTGAGTCGATTCAATTCGGCCATGATTGATATAAATTGATTAAATTTTTTGCATCAAAAAATGAGACCGTTTCGTGTATCATTTCTAAAAATGATACACAAAACGATCTTTTTTCGATATAACTTATGTGCATCAAAACGTTGCAAAGATTTGATGCAATTCTTGGTCTCAATTTGATACTTTTAGGAAAACTGTGTAGTTATTCCAGTTGACGATATTATTAATTTAATTTGTTTAAAAAATTTTTTTAATTATTTTTAGCATTATTCTGAGAACAAATTTTTTTTTTATTTCTTATATTATTTTTTTTTTATTGTTAACAGAAGAAAATAATATTGGAAGGGAAATAAAATTGAAAACGTTAATTTATGATGTTTTTCCGTCAATTTATTTATTATTAATGCTAATCTTACAAAAAAAACATATAATACATATTACAGGCAGGCGATAATTTTCGTAAATATTTAATCGACTTAACTTAGATAATAATAATATAATAATAATAATAATTATTAATTTATATTTATATCCTAAAAATATATTTACGCAAAATAGAAAAAGAAAAGCGAACCGTTATTACATTTTTGTTTTGTTTTTTTTGTTGTAAAAATAAATACTCGTTTGGACGTCGAGGGACGGGAGTTAATTAATTCTTAATATAATTATATATGTAAAGTGTACAATATTACAAATCGCCGTTTCTTATTATTTATATAATAATAATAATAATAATAAAAGCAACATGATTTTTTAAGAAACAATATTTTTTTCTTTTTTTAAAAAAAAAAATCGATTATCTATATCAACTATTAAATTCACATTTATTTTGTTGAACTATACACATTAGTTTAAAAAAAAACACCAAGTTCAATAATGAACAGTCAATTTATTTTAGAATTCTTATTTTGAATTTTTTAAAGATTCAAAAATGTTGAAAATTTTTTTTTTTTTTATCTAAGTTTGGAAAATTTCGCTTTTAAAATTTCTATTTTCTACAATTTGTTGGAAAAGTGGGGGGAAGGGGGGTAGAAATAATTTACGGTTCTTAATTATATTTTTTTTTGTTTTTAAATATATGAACGATAAAAGTCGATACAAAATTGCGTTGTGTGAAGAAATTTTAGTTTTTTTTTCTGAAAATGAACTTTTTTTACGTGATAAAATAAAGAAAAATGAAAAAAGTGTGTGTGTGTGGTAAAATTATAATACATGAGAAATTTCTTTATCTCGACATAATATAAAATTATTTTTCCAGTATCTTTGGTTTTTTTTTTTTATCATTTCTGTAGAATATTGAATTCTGTTTTTTTTTTATCAATTCCTGTTTTTTTTTTTTTTTCTAAATCAGTCTGCAATTCAAAATTCTCGATAATTTTGAAAGAGCCTTTTAAAAATGGCAAATACCTTTTTTTTTTGTTTTTAATGTAAATAATTGAAATGCACGATTATTTCTTGAATTTCAATTGTCAATTTTATTTGTTCGAAATTCATAAAATAAAAAAATTTTTCATGAAATTAATTTTAATATTTACTCAAGTTTTTATTTTTCTATATTTAATCTGAATTTTCATATTTTGTCGAAAATTTCATATTTTAATTGAAATAAAATGGAAATTTTTAATGAATATTTGTCAGAATAAAAAATTCTGCTGTACACTATTTTTTTTTTTTCGTTAAATCTACTTTTTAGTTAAGTAAAATTAGTTAAAAGTTAGATTAGTTTAATTTTATTTTAATTTAAATTCGTTCATAATCGATTATATATTATTATTATTATTATTGATTAAAAATATAATTGTATTATTAATTATAATATTATTAATTACATTTTTAAAGAAATTGTATGAATTTCGGACTTAAGACTGTCAATTGAAATTTCAATGGAAATTTTTGTGCGCTTCGAGCAATTACAATTATTAATATTTTTTTATTATTATTGAGATTCGAGACGTGAAATGATGGACAACTTTTCATTTTTTTTTTTTTTTTTATATAAATGGCACTACGAAAGCGAAAGGTAACGGTGCGTGTTTCCACGAAATATCATGATATTCGATAATTATAATACAATGACACGATTCCTAAAATCGGAATGACATTTGCTTCCTCTCATCGCTATAGCAGATATTCTGTAATTATTACTATATTTTTTTTTAATTTAATATTTAATAGTTTAACATCGTTAACGTACGCTAAATTCATCTTCGACTTTTTTTTTTCTTTTTTTTTTTTTTTTTTAATTCCCTGGATTGTCTGACGTGACGTCGCGTCGTAATGAGCCATAACATTTACAATATAGTTCATTAAATACATTACATGGAACAAAGTGGGAAAACCTTCATCCAGGAACGATCCCGCTGATTCTCGAGCGAATAGTACTACACTCCATTTCAATAGTGAAAAATTGACTAAGCCCCCGCTTTTTTTTTTGTTTTAAAAGACGTTCAGTTCCTTTTTTTTTATTCTATTTCATCGTGCACAAAATGAAAAATTTCACATCCTTTTATGTATACATATATATTTATATATTACAATTTTATTGACGAAAACGCAAAGAGCATAAAATAAATTATTTTTACATATAATAATTAAATATTAAAAATTAAACTATTTTAAATTAAATATTAATTTAGAAAAAATTAAATTATTTTAAATTAGATATTAATTTAAAGAAAAAAATTACTTATTAATTTTATTAAATTTTAAATGAATTTGATCGTAGTCGATTTACATTTCAATCGATAATTAATTAGTTGAGATTGTTAATTGTCAAATATATTTTTTCAATAAAAAAAAATAATATAGATATTTTTATGTTCGTCAATTTTTATTTTTTGCCTGTTTGAAAATCGTCAATTTTCAGTTCAATTTCCGTCTTCTATATTCTTCAATTTACTTCCCTAGATATCTTGTGATGGTTTTTTATTATTTTTTTTTTTTTCATTTTATGTGTAATATTTTTTCATTTTGTGCATTCGTCTCTATTATAGTAAACTATCGCTTAACTTTTTTTTTTTCTTTTGTCGTACGTCGAAAAAGTATTTTTTTTTTAAATTACAAACGAGTTAAAAAAGAAGCATTTTTTTTTTTTTTTGACGACAGGTACCTTATATAAATTACACAGTAATAATAATAATTATACAAATGCCTAACTAACAAAGTGGAAAAATTCTTGAGAAAAATTCTAAAAATGTTTTTTCTTTGAAAAGTCCTTTAGTTTCGCTATATGTATATAGTCTTTTCATTCGAGAGATCTTGAGAAAATCTTAAGTCTTAGGAATAAAAAAAAAAAAAAAAAAAAACAAGAAACACAAAAAAAAACTCTTATTCAACTTTCTGACGAAATTAAAATTCGTGAGTTTGTTTGGTTTTCCTCTTTCTTTTTTTTGTGTTTTAATTCTCATCTCTTTATTGGAAATTAGAATAATTATTGAAATGTTTTTTTTTTTTTGGAAATTGATGCAAGCAGCTTTTAATAATAAAATTTCAGAAAAATGTGTTTTTTTTCTGTTGATATAAGCTGCTCTATTTTTTCAATAATCGTTGAACACTCTTCTCGTATTTTATTATATGAACCTGATGATGGTTAAAGATTCTATTTTCTACGTGAAAAATCGAGAAGCAACGAGGAAGGATAACGCGAGAACGGATTGACTGACATAGTGTATCTTCCCCGAGGAGAAGAAAAATATACCTGCTGAGCCGACGGCGGCGTTCGCGTGGCGACTTGATGGTTGCTCGGATGCCATTAGATCCTCCCTGGAGGGCTCAGGACATGGGAGATCCTCAGGTTTCAATTGGAAAAGTTCCTTCATGTAACCCACTTTTCCGTCTATGATCTCCATCTGCGAGACAAAAAAAATTACATTATGATATTTTTTTTCTCTTATAGAGTAAGTTCGGTTACTTTATGTTATTTATTCTTAAAATTAAAAGCAATCACTAGAGGGACGCATATGATTATGTTCTAAAAAATCATTAGTTAGAATTTTCATTTTTTAGAATTTCATTAATAATTATTATAGTTTTGAGACGAATTTTTATTTGTTCAAATTAATATTTTGCAGAATTCTCATCAAAACGATTTTCTATATTACAGAATTTTTCAATATAACCAAAAAATTCACTTCACAGAATTTTTATTAGCTCGAATTTTCATTTAACGTAATTGGCATTTAAAAGAATTTTTATTGAGTAGAATTTCATTGTATAGAATTTTCTTTCAGATGAATTTTCATTTGTTCGAATTATTATTTGATATAATTTCCATATATATAACCGATTTTTCATACTACAGAATTTTTAATTAACCGAAAAATCATTTAACAGAATTTCCAGTTGATAGAATTTTCATTTGTCCGAAATTGCAAATAGCCGAACAAACAATCAACAGAAAGATTTCGGCGCGAATTTTAAAATCAACGAATCAAAAATTATTCTAAAAATTGTGATTTGTTGATTTTAAAAATGGCGCCGAAATCTTTCTGTCGATTGTTTGTTTGGCCATTTGTAATTTCGGACAAATGAAAATTCTATCAATTGAGGGTGTGGATGCTATAAGGGGATATAAGTGAAAGTAAAAGTCCCCGCGTGTAGCGAGTCAGCGGCTGCCCAAGGGGACAACGTAAACCCTCAATTATAGAAATTCTGTTAACTGATTTTTCGGTTAAGTAAAAATTCTGTAGTATGGAAAATTGGTTATATATGGAAATTATATCAAATAATAATTCGAACAAATGAAAATTCATCTGAAAGAAAATTTTATGCAATAAAATAATAAAAATTCTTTCAAATGCCTATTATGTTTGTAATGATAGTTAGAAATCGGCCGGTAAATATTTGTACTAAATATTATCGCGCGTCGATAAACAAGTTACCGACCGCGGAGCACAAAGACGTAGTACCCGATTTCGCCGCGCGGGTCGCATCGCCAAAGCTCACTCGCGTGCGCCCAGCCCACCGATCGGCTATATAAGCTTGCGCTCTCGCTGAGGACCGTCACTCTCGTGCTACACGGAGTCCGGGTGGGTCTTACCCACTTGAGTAGAAGTTTTACTCTCGTTCGTCGGGTTTTACCGGTTGAACATTATATCGGTTTTTAATGTATATAGTGTAAAGTAAAGTAACAAATGTATAGTAAAGAATTGTAATGTAACGTATCAAGCTGTAAAGTAATGTATCAAAATGTATAGTAAAGTAACGTAACGAAATGTATTGTAACGTAAATTTGAATTCTCGGAAGTTTAAAGTAGATTTTCCGTTTTATTACCGTTTTTTTTAGATATACTTAGAGTTTTACTCTTTGTATAATTGGAACACGAGTTTTACTCGTGATTCACCAGTGTATCGCGAATTTTTAGGCAGTATAGTAACAGATTTACGGCTCATCGCTACGATTTGAAGCCGTTTTCGTTAATGCACGGCTCAAATAAGCGACGTTCCAGATTGATGCCGATTTTCGATATCGCGGCTCAACATATTTTAGATAGACGCCGACAAATAGTTACTCGAAACCGACTTTCGCGATTTACTTGTAATCTCCGTATAACTTTGATATTGTAAATACCGTTGTAAATAAATAATTTGTTATCAGTTTGTAATTAACCCGTTATTATTGTTATTTTTTTGTTGGAATCAAAACGAACCCTGGCTCGGCGAGCTAAAATATTGATTCTTACAATTACAAACGTTACATGTTAAATGAAAATTCGAACAAATAAAAATTAGGCTCAAAAATAATTATAGTGACTGGAAAATAAATATTGAAGTGCAAATTAGAATTAGTGAAAAATTTAAAATATTAGTAAAATTAAAAAATTAACATAATAATTCATTAACAAAATAATTATTTCACTCATTCTTTTTTTAAAAATTATTTTCCTATTTTTAATATAAAAATTAATTATTTCTGCAACTAAATACAAAAAGATGTAATTTCTGTATACAACTAGATATGCTTATGAATTGTTTATACAACTCCTGGACAATAAACGCGCAGAGTTAATAATTCTGCACTAATAAATACTTATCAAAGTGATTATCTATAAGGAAACAGAGAATTCTTGATTGTAATTAAGATATCTTCTCAAACGAAGTATCTTTAGTCCGTTTTGTATATATGTAGAATAACTGTTTTCTCTCTCTCTCTATATATATAGTTTAAAGTAGACTATTATTCAATGTTTAACAATTGTTACATTTCAAATATTGCGCACAATACAAAGTAAAGTATATATATATATTTCATTTTATATCGATGGGATGATATAATTAAAAGAGAAACTCGCGCAGTTAAGCATTCGAAACAATAAAGACCATTTTCTCTTCAAACATAATCGTAACACTGAAAAACAATTATTCGATTCAAATAATCGACTATTATTAAATAAATATTTGTTTCAAATAATAATAATTATTAATAATAATTATAAATAATAATAAATTATTATCATTATAATTCAAATAAAATAATAATGTTAAAAGGAGAAATTAAATTTTTCACATAAAAATTCGTTATAGGGGAGAGTCAGCATGGTTGGGCCAGTTTTTGACTTGTGCCCATAACTTCCGTTTTAGGGTAAATTTTAAATTCTCTTGTATGTGGTTGGAAAGATACACTAAAGTGGAATGTTTCTTCTGAACATCAGGAAATGATTGGGTCAAAAGTGTAAAAGTTACAGGCATTTAAAAAAAAAAAAATTTGTCGTGTAGGTTGGGCCAGGGCTTGATGGTTGGATCACTGTAGTAAATCAATATGAAATGAAGGAAATTGACCAAAAAGGACCCGAAAATGTCAGAAAAATACTAAAATTGAGCTGAAAATGATAAAATAAAATCTGAAATTAAAATAAAATTAGCCCCCTGAACCAAAATCCGATTATTCGCGAAATTGGTCTAAAAAGTTAAAAAATAGTACCAAATTTTATTAAAACCATTTTTTTTAAAAATGGAAATGGCATCTTTGACTCTTTTTTTTATATAAAAAATTGAATTTTCGATGTCTGGACGTATGATAATAATATTAGAAAATTGGTGGTAGGCCCAACCATGAGGAACGGCGTCGTCAACAAAAACACGTTAAACAAACATAATAACAATAACAATAACGCTAAATAATGCTTGAAACTTTTAAATTACATTGTAATGAACAATTTCTGTCATTTTATTTTGTTGTTTTCTCATTCCTTCTGTTATTTAATCGACTTATCTGTCACTGTGAAAAAGTTTTGGGTTGTCATTTTAGCACTTATTTTGGTTTTCTTGATAAATTAAATGTTTACTGCAATTGCATTTTACTGTAAGTAACGTGAAAAGTTAGTTGCCATCACTAACAAATATTTGCATAATAAAATAGAGGGCGCCAGTGTGCTAGAGCTATAAACACAGGGGTGTCCCAACCATGCTGACTCCCCCTATATTTTTAATATAAAATATTCTATGAAACGTTTCAGAAAATAGTGAGTAATTTCTTATTAATTTTGCTATTAATTAATTAATTAAATAATAATTATGAAATTTTTTTAATTGTTATACCTTCGTTGGTGACTTTTGAACTTCCTTTTCTTCATCTTCATAAGAGTCGTCATAGTTGGTTGCATCATCCAAGTAATCGTTAGTACCTCTATTTCCCTCCTTCAAATTGTCAAACATATATTCATCTGAAAAAAAATTAAAAAATGTTTTTTTTTAATTCTAATAAATATTTTTTTTTCTGTATAACCAAGTAGATATTTCTGATTTTATGTATTTTATGTCGATAAAATAAAAAAAAAAAAAAAAGAAAATAAGACGCATGTCTTATGTATAAGTATACGTTAATGGTAACTTAACCTTGAAACTGCTTTAGCGGTCTGTGGGATCGCTATCTAAAATTATTTCGCTTATTAATTTTTTTCAAATTATAATAGAAGCTTGAGCGTTTCAGTAGTTTCATATTTTATATAAAAATCTATTAGATGACAATTGCTTCAAAGTTTAGAATTCGTTAAATTTTGTAATATAAATAAAAATATCAAGTATAACGGTCTGTGGGACCGGTGTTAGTAGTAAGTGTAAGTTTATTCCCGCAGGTGATTTCTGCGCATGCGTATTATCATGCGCAAGCAATTTAGTCAATCCTCATAACCTGCATTTGTTGTTTTGGACGTTTTCGTGATGATGTAAACATGTAAATACTTTAATTATTTATAAATGAAATAATCAAATAACAAATAATATTTATTAAATTAATATTGACTTGTTCTCCTTATTGAAACATGTTTATTTAATTTTGATTATTCTAATTTTAATATAGTCAATTGAAAAATTTTAGGTTAATTCTATACAGAATAAGAGCAATAACAGTTCATTCTAAAAAAACCAAGTAAAATATTGAATAATTTGTTTAAATTATTTAAATCGTATTATTATTACTATTTCGTTTAAATGTTAACTCAATGCTGTGATTCATAATTTATACAGATTAATTAATATAATTAATTTATATGTCAAAGATTTTTTTAGCTAATAATTGATAAAACAGTATTGTAACATAAATAAAAATAAAAAAACTGCAACAAAATATTATAGAAATAGTCTTTTTATTGTAAAAAAATAAAAATAAATACGACAGTTGTCATTACATAATTTGAAATCACTAGAAAAACACAAAAAAAAGGAATAGCGGTTAAACTTGTAAATATCTCAAAACACGTTGTCTCCGATTTTGACAAAATCTATGTCAAAAGAAAGCTTAAATATTCTATTTTTTATTTCCGTAAAGTTTATAATGGACATTTTCGAGAATTTCCAGAAATTAATTAAAATTCTCAGACGTTTCGGAGGTTAAAAAGAATTGAAATTTGTATGAATGGAGAACCATCTTTAGCTATTTGCAATTAAAAATTTTTCAAATTTAAAAAAATTATTAAGATTAAAATTGAAGTTTTAAAATTTATTTATTTAAAAATTTCGTAAAAACAAATGCCGCTGTATTTGAACAGAGGTTCTCTATTCATGCAAATTTCAACCCTTTTTAACCTTTGAAACGTCTAAGAATTTTAATTAATTTCTCGAAATCCTCAAAAATGTCCATTATAAACTTTACGGAAATAAAAAATAGAATATTTAAGCTTTCTTTTGACACAGATTTTGTCAAAATCGGAGACAACGTGTTTTGAGATATTTATAAGTTTAACCTTCAAACTAAATTTTTTATGCTAATTAAACGTTTTTTTAAAAAAATTTTTTTACAATAATAAAGTTTAGAAATTTCTCTTTCGAAACCACTCATTGCAAAAGTAATTTGATTTAATTAAATGGGAGAAATAATTATTTAAAAAATGTCTTATATTGTCAATTGTTTACTAGGGGTATAATTTTAAAATAGAATGCCCCATATAATATTTAATATATAATAATATTATCATAAGAAGATAATAATATTATTATTGTTGATATATATATATATATATATATATATATATATATATATATATATATATATATATATATATATAGTGGAATGATATGAGAAGGAAATATATGCTTTACGTTGTTATAAAAAGTAATATAAATCTAAAATGAAGCAAGTTTCTTAAAGTAGAGAGTATATGTGTACATATATAATAGTAGCATCAAAACTTGTGCAGTTTACTATTCTTACCTGGATTGCGTGCAATTGCCAAAGCACTATTCCTCTCAGCATCCTTAACAGACTTAACAGACGCGTTCTTGCTCTCGAGGAAGCAAGTGAGTTCTTCCAAGTTTTCCCTTAGCTTGATGTTCCTCGTCTCATTCCTTAGACCCCAAATCCACTGGAGCTTACAGTCGCAAATCAGTTTGTTTCCTGAGACAGAAAAACTTCGTTAGAGGATATACTAATTACCAACTTGCGTTAATTCATCACATACATATAATCCTTTTGTCCTTTCGATACACATATACAAATAATTTCTACGTTTGTTTTTTTGACTCGTCGTATGTTAATTCAATTTCAACGCTTATTCTTCTTGCATTTCGAATAAAAATTATATTTTTTAAATTTTATAATGAAGCAATTTTTCATATATTATAGAATTTTTTTTCCATAGAAAGAAAAAATAAATGAAAATTCTTTTTTCAAGTTAGTAAATCGTATTTCTATTTAGTTTATTTTCAAATATTATTTTTCAAAAAATTAGAATATATAAAGTTAAAAAAAAATTTCATGTACACTTAGAAAAAAGAATTCTTAATTTTAATATAGATATCTGTTTGATCGATTTTTACTAATTTAACACAGTTTATAAGTTTTATTTTATTATACAAAAAATATCTACATCACTTTCATTTAAAAATACTATTTGTTTGAATGAAAATTATAATATGTTAATGATTTAAACTTAAAGGTTAGTTTAGAACAGGCGCATGTATTTCCACTGTAATTCCAGTAGAACGTCTGTAAGATGCCATATATTTATATGTTTTACAACTGTCTCACCCTACTCTTCTCTATTCTAGTTCCCCGCCCTGTATCGAAAAAAGCTACCATTCCCTGCAAAGTGTCACAATTCAGATGTTCCACTCATTATTTTATATTTTATTAACAGACGCTCCGCGATAAAAGGTACCTAAGCTCCCAAAATTTTTAGGTTATATTTTTGATTTTTGAATTGAAAATACATAAAGAGGGTCAACTTTTTTATACAAACTATTGATGTTTAATAAGTCTTTATTACATCTAAAATATTCAATAAAATATATTTTTGATTTTACTACTTAATTAAAATAGAAATTTTTATTGAGACAAAACTATCACAAAATATAACCTAAAAATTTTTGGAGCTTAGGTACCTTTTGTCGCGGAACGTCACTTATACTAATTCATATAGAAAAAAACTGAACTCATTTTTGCTGCACCTCATTATGAGATCTGCATTAAAATGAGTTAACAGACAACTTCACGTTACTCAAAATAAACCTGAATAGAAAAACTGTACAAAAAAATAGGTTATGTTCTGGATCATTCCATTATATTTCACCTATAGTCGTTGAAGCCTATTTTTAGAAAAATTTGATATTTCGTATTAATGACTTTGAATATCCGTACAATTCATTTTTGACAATTATTTTATGAAATTTTTTTTTATTTACGTTGAAATTTAGTTTTTAAGTTGAGTTGAACGGAAAATAGGTTAGTTTGACAGCTTTGTAAATTTTATAAAAAAGAACAGAAATAATTCAGTTAGTCTAATTTACCAATGTTAATTGATAATTGTGTAAAAAAAGCCAAAATACTACGTGAAAATTAATATTCAAACTTACCTGTAAAATGTCAAAATTTGTCACATTTTATTTATATTTTCCAAAAAAGTTTATAAATATTATAAAATTTATTACTACCTAACAATAAGTACTTTCCGCATGTACTTTCACATGATATGTTGGCTTTTTATTTTTATAATATAGAAATATGTGAAATTTTACCTTGAATATTGAACTTTTCAGGATTTTATCAGATTTTGAACACTTATATCTTCGCAGGCGATTAATGAAAAAATCCCATTTTGGTATTAAAATTTAAGTTAAGTTTTCTTTATTCATCTTATCAAAATTTGGTGATGGAGAACGAGCTATTTTTTATTTTTATTCACTTTAAAAAATTCACTGTAAAATACGAATTTGAAGGTTAAAAAACAAGTATTTTTATAAATAAAATTCATACAAATAAATCTATATTGAGAAAACTAACTTCAGTTTTATAAAATTACTTGTTTTTTAACGTTTAAATTCGTACTTTAAGGTGGATTTTTTAAAGTGAATAAAAATAAAAAGTAGCTCGTTCTCCATCACCAAATTTTGATAAGATGAATAAAGAAAACTTAACTTAAATTTTAATACCAAAATGGGATTTTTTCATTAATCGCCTGCGAAGATATAAGTGTTCAAAATCTGATAAAATCCTGAAAAGTTCAATATTCAAGGTAAAATTTCACATATTTCTATATTATAAAAATAAAAAGCCAACATATCATGTGAAAGTACACTGAAAGAAATTTCATAGGAAAAAATAACAAAATGCGTATTACATTTTAATATATTCTTTTAGAATTTAGGGAAAAGTGTACTTTTTATTAAAATTCAATATACTTTATATTAAAGTTCCAACTTAAAATCTTTTTTCAAATATTAATAATTATTGTAGAAAGAACGTAAAAAGATTACCAATATTTGAAAATATTATATTAAATTCTCATAGAGTTGTTGCATTATATGGAATGTAGCGTTCTAATATTTGTAAAACTTTATACGAAAAATTCAGAATGTCGGAAGAAAAGGGAAAAAAAGCGGAAACTGTCGGACGTTTCCGTTAATTCTCGGGAGGAAGAGGAGTGAGACTAGGAACAACACATTCACACTTACGATACAGGTTAATACACATACTAATGAACACGCACGTTCATTTCGCTTATACATAGACATTACACGATCGCAACGAAACCTACACTTACAATTCTATACGCATAACGATAAATTTCGCTGGGGGTCGGCATATATCGTTTTCTTATATACTAACTACTGAATATTTTTACCACTTGCGAGAAAGAAGTTTACTTACACGGAGAGAAAAATCTGCCTTTTATAGTATGAAATAGATTGCTGCTATTTTTCTTTAAACTTTTCATACTAATAGAGCAAAGATTTGAGAATTTTTAGCATGAAACTTGTCTATGCTAATAAAGTTTGTCATATAGCCTCTTATTACATACTTATTATACTTTTAATCCAACGGCGCCATGCGAAGATCGCACATAACATCATCCTACTATTTTTGCATAAGTTCTATGCTTTTTCGGGGATAGACTCTTGCAACTGGCGATTAGAGCAGTTCCAATTAAGTAAAGGTGGGCGTGGCCTAATCGCCAGTTGCAAGAGTCTATCCCCGAAAAAGCATAGAACTTATGCAAACATAGTAGGATGATGTTATGTGCGATCTTCGCATGGCGCCGTTGGATTAAAAGTATAATAAGTATGTAATAAGAGGCTATATGACAAACTTTATTAGCATAGACAAGTTTCATGCTAAAAAGACATACGATTGTACTATAATTACTCAAATTTCATGCCTATATAGCATAGAAAATTTCTGTGCATTAAATGTAAACCTTTCTATACTATAAAAGGCAGATTTTTCTCTCCGTGTATAATAACTTAATAATAAAAAATAGTTTACTAGTGCCAATGGTGTAATTTTATAGAGGTTACGCTGGGTTCATTTTTATTATTAATTGTTTATATAGATTTTTCTTTTTTTTCAGATTAAAAATTATGATTGTTATAAAAATTTTTATTGCAAATAAAAATTAAATAATTGTAAAGATGACATCAAAAAATAAAAATAATAATAAATTTAATAATTAATAATAAATTTATTATTATTAAATAACTTTAATAAAACATTTTTTATAAATTGAAAATAAATTTAAATTAAAAAGAATTTAAAACACTATAAACATTTGAAACACGTGTGTTGACAGTTGATAGGTACGTTCTGCTGGTTAACAACACTTTCGAAAATCGGATCAAGTCGTAGAAGTTCGAGTAGGACACGAAGCCGCAAACAGACAGAACTTCGGTTAAATTCGTAGTCTCTCGGGAAAATCCGTGACTTTTAATATAAAGTTTTACAAAATGTGAAATAAGTATACGGATATATGTTATTTTTCTTACTATTTTGTGAAATTATTTATTATAATATTTCGTATTCTGTGAATTCATAAAGAAAATACTAATTTTTAAAATAAATATACTAATTCTTATTTCTTAAAATAATAAAAACTCTTAAATTCATTATATATTTTCATAAAAACTGTAATAGTAATCAATATAGGTGCACTTTTTCCCTAAATTGTAACATTTATATTAAACTCTAATATGAGTTTAATACTTAGTAGTATGAATTTTCTTTCAGTGTACATGCGGAAAGTACTTATTGTTAGGTAGTAATAAATTTTATAATATTTATAAACTTTTTTGGAAAATATAAATAAAATGTGACAAATTTTGACATTTTACAGGTAAGTTTGAATATTAATTTTCACGTAGTATTTTGGCTTTTTTTACACAATTATCAATTAACATTGGTAAATTAGACTAACTGAATTATTTCTGTTCTTTTTTATAAAATTTACAAAGCTGTCAAACTAACCTATTTTCCGTTCAACTCAACTTAAAAACTAAATTTCAACGTAAATAAAAAAAAATTTCATAAAATAATTGTCAAAAATGAATTGTACGGATATTTAAAGTCATTAATACAAAATACCAAATTTTTCTAAAAATAGGCCGCAACGACTATAGGTGAAATAAAATGGAATGACCCTTCTACATTGTGATATTTTCATATTGGTAGTATTGCAGAATCTTGTAAATTATATAAAATTAATATTAAAGTAAATTATGCTTAGTTTTTTTCTGTAAACTTTGAATCAAACAAAATTTATATTTTATTTGATTGTAAAGCAAAGATATACCAAGTTTGAATTAAATATAATATATAGTTAATTTTGTAAAGTATAATCCAAGAATATTTTGAATATTTAAATTCTCTTTTTAACAGTTACGTTGAGAATATAGCGCGCATTATCTATAAAGAAAGTTCTGCTCGACATCTTATCTATTGAATAATTGAACTTTTGTTAAAACTGGAACAAAACCTCAGGGCAATTTTAATTAATTGTTTAATAATATAGTTTGCCCTAACAATCTTTCTTGAATGTCTGCGTGTTTACTTTCTTATTTCGAGACCAAGGGTCTTCATTATTTAATGAATCGCAGGTCTGATATGTTCCTTGCGTCATATATGTA